ATAACACTATATAACCATATGTAAATCTGTATAACCGTATATTTCATTATATAAATACATATAATCAATAACACTATATAACTGTATAAAAACCTATGTAACCGTATATATCACTATATAACTACATATAATCATTAACACTATATAAATATATATAATCAATAACTCTACATAACTCTATATAAATGTATACAACCGTATATATCACTATATATAATCAATAACTGTACATAACTATATATAAATCTATATAACCGTATATATCCTTAATAACTATATATAATCAATAACTTTGCCTAACTATTTATAAATCTATATAACCTGATAAGTAATCGTGTTTAAAATTTTTCGCGAACAAATTTTTGAATTAATGAAGGGACATAATTAATCCACATTTATTAGCAGTGTGAATAACAATTGTCTCCAGTTCAGATAAAAAACAGTCGCCAGATAATCCACACAGCACAAATCTAATCAGACCACCCAAACGGGTCAAAAGTTGTCTGATTATTTTTGCTGTTCTTCATCTTCCTTGGCAAATGTCTTTAACTTCTCTTCTTTCTTGACAACCTGGCGCTCGTCACGTCTCTTGCGGGCTTCCTTCACTTTGGTTCTTCTGGCCTCTGCCTGGTCACTGCAGTTGGAGGAAAAAGTATTTAGTGAAAATGACAAATAAATAAAAAAGTCATATATATATATATTAAATATATGAATGATTTGTATCATGCATGGTTTGTCACCCCAGTAACTGCCTGAAGAGGCTATGGAATGTTTATGGAGTATGCAGTCCTCGTCCACACCAACCTTGACCAGAGGCCAAGGTCGGGAACAGAGATGTTATACGACATTGTGGCAAGGAATAACTTCATTTGCACTAATTAAAGTGCATGAGCTTCCATAAGGCCACTAATGATATCCAGAGGAGTGAACCAGCCACAACTCTGAATATCAACATCGATCAAAATGTAAGCCATCCAATTAAAAACAAAGATGAAAGTTTTGAGCATAAAATTTAAAAAATATATTTACTTGAGCATCTTGGCTCTTGAGTTCTCAGCCTTCTTCTTGTGGATGTGTTCCATGAGGACCCTCTTGTTTTTGAAGACGTTTCCCTTGCATTTCATGTACAGGCTGTGGTACCTACGCGGAGAAAAATTAAAAAACATTTTAACAGTAAATTAACAGAAACTGTATCAAGAATCACTTCAAATCATCATAAAAATGATGTATCATGCATGGTTTGTCACCCCAGTAACTGCCTGAAGAGGCTATGGAATGTTTATGGAGTATGCAGTCCTCGTCCACACCAACCTTGACCAGAGGCCAAGGTCGGGAACAGAAATATTATACGACATTGTGGTAAGGAATAACTTCATTTGCACTAATTAAAGTACATGAGCTCCCATAGGGCCACTATAGACACTCAGATAAGATGGAAACCCACAAATCCGAGAATCAATGTCGATTAGCAATTAATTATTTTGAATCATTGTTAATAAAAATGTATCCTGCATGGTTTGTCACCCCAGCAATGGCCTGAAAAGGCTATGGAATGTTTATGGAGTATGCAGTCCTCGTCCTCACCAACCCTGACCAGAAGTCAAGGTCGGGAACAGAGATATTGTACGACAATGTGGTAAGGAATAACTTCATTTGCACTAATTAAAGTACATGAGCTTCCATGAGGCCACTGAAGACTACACAATGTTGCTGGAAAGACCAGCAATCATGAGTCAATGTCGATAAGTAAATGATTGAATCAAAATGTTAAACACTTGGAATCATGTGAAGATAGATGATTAATCATCACAAACCAGTATGTGTCTATGGGTTCAATCTTGCAGACCAGTAACTGAAGTTAGCAACAAAACAATAACTTCATAACTCATGGCCTGCTGATGCTTGTTTTAAAAAAGAAACAAACAAATCTTACAAGTGTTTGTCTATCTTCTTGTCATCTCTGTATCTTTTGAGAAGACGTCTGAGAACTCTCATTCTTCTGATCCAGATGACTTTCTCTGGCATACGAGCGTTGGCTGTACCCTTCCTCTTACCAGTTCCAGTGTGTCTGCCCTTCCTACGAGCAATCATGTTCTTGCGAACTCTGGCTCTTGAGTGCACAGCAACAGGCTTTCTGATGATCAAACCATTCTTGATCAGTTTACGAATGTTCTGGCCTGTTAATTTTCAATTATCCAAACTTTTGTTCTCAAGATGTGAGTTTAAAAAATATAGATTATTGTTTTTTCAACTCTAATAGTCATAGTCTAAAGGAAAAAAAAACAAAAACAAACGAGACTAACGCGAGTTGGCATTGGAAATTTCATTCGTTTCATTGGGGTCCAACCAGATTTTGTTTCTGCCGCATTTTAACACAGCGGCTGCCAGTCTCTTTTGCGACCGCAACGTTCTGCAACAAGAACACAATTAAAATTATTACCATTTGAGTTTTCACGAAAACGTGGTTCGAAATGCGACCGCCATTTTTCAGGAATAAGAACGAACTTTACGATAAAAAATCGCCAAAACAATAACACAAATAATGTTTAAACGACACTAATACATCAATAAAAAATATTTAAAAAATTATAATCACACAAACGAACCAACTCTCACCCCATTGTGATATAATCGGAAAAAAGAACCAACGGAAGTTAATGGTCTCCTATATTGGATAGAAAAATGTTTAATTACATAGCGCTTCATATTCTTTTTAACATGCCATAATTTAAAAAGGCATGAAGTCAAGGCTGAAGGCCTTCTCAAGTGTAAATGTAAATATTTCAAACATTTTTCAAACCAAATTAACAATTAAACATTTAAATTAGGTTTTTAAAGGCGAGAAGCGCAACAAAACGATAAAATCTTCACTTTAAACTATATTTAAACGATAAAAATGAAAAGAAGAAAATTATTTCTCTCAAAAGAGCTCACTTTGTATGAAAAAATGCACGAAAAGAAATTTAAGAGAACGTGT